GGGAGGATAGATGGGTTTTCGGCTAACGGCTGGTGTTTGTTCAGGAAAGAGAAAGGGAGGAAGCAGTAGTGATAGCATCAAAGGAAAATCAAACTTCTGAAAAAGGAGGTTAGGAAAGGAATGAACACTTATTGAATGAAGGCAGAGATTATATTCGAGAAAGCGAAAAAAATTCTCCACAACTAACGGTAATAGAAGAAGAGGCTTCAATGGCATTTGTCATCTGTAGAAGATAGAGTTGCATCTTCTATTGGTGGAGAAAACAAACAAGTAGGGTTTTTTGCCATTAGATTCCTCTGAAATAAGAGGTGGAACAATGTCAAGATACAAACACACACCTATCTAGAGTGCAATCATGAAACATAATCAAACCCCGACTGTAGTCGGGATGACAAAGACAGAGCTTTCTTGGCTACCGAATGAGCCACTCCGTTATTAGCACGACCAACGAACGAAATCGAAGCACCACACACTTCCCCCAGAAGCAAAGAAATCTCTTGCAAAATACTCCCAATCCTAGCATCGAACACCATCTGATCCTTAGCTTTGTCGATAATCAACTTGGCATCCCCTTCCACCAGCACATTAGTCATTGATCTCCAGCTGCATTCTTAGATGCAATCTCGCAAGGCAAGTGTCTCTAAAATGTATGCATCATTGCATCCAGCATATGAGGTCGTCTTAGTTGTAATGACAGATCCAGATGCATGCCAAAGTACAAATGTCACAATCCCAACTTTATTAACAAGAGTAGCGCAGTCCAATGCCCCCTTGTAATGAAACAAACCGGCGACGATCTCAGAATCTGCATCCAGCTGAATATGACCAGTACCAGACGGAGAAGGTGATTGGGCTCGACTGAGGAGAGCTGCATCATTTTCCATTACTTGGTGCTTCCACTGTGTCGCCAATGTTTCAAGTCGAACTTGTTTGCGATCATAGAAACCCGAACAACGATTCTTCCACAGCCTTCAAAGTAAGAGAATAACCTGTAGAAAAGATAATCCAAATTCGGACCCGATTCTCTAGCCAAGGTGAATCGGATAAAACCCATAAAATTGGATTTATGCCAGCGGAAGAAATGATCATTGAGACCAACCAAACGCCAAAACCTCCAAGCCAGAGGACAGATGAAGAATAGATGCTCCACAGTTTCTTCCTTCCGAATACACTGGAATAATATCCATACCCTTGGTGAATAAAGCATCCCTAGTTGACAGGATCCCATGAATGCATTGCCACAAGAAAAAAATGCAACTTCGGAGGGATTTTACGAGCCCAAATCCAATTCCAAATTGAATGATCAAGAACAGCAGCTCCCAATTTAGCTGGTGGTTTTCGCTGATTCTGAAAAGCAAGATGGTACACAAATTTCACATAAAATCTACCAGAGGCTTCATAATTCCACACGAGAGGGTCCTCGATGGAACAAAGAGGTAAGGGAATACCTTGAATAATTCTAACCTAATCCTGTGAGAAGAAGTGATTCAAAGCATCAGTATTCCTATTGTGCGTACATGAATCAATCAATGTCGATACAAAAGGCGACGCAGCAAGGGAGTTGGGATTGGGGATAGGTCTTGAAGGCGGTGTAGTCGGAAACCAAGTACCCTCCAAAGCATGAATAGAAAAATTGTTCCCCACCTGCCAACGAACCCCTTGTCGTAATAATTCACACCCAAACAACACGTTGCACAACCCCAAGGACGGATTACTCTCAACTGAAGCATTCTGAATACTGCCTGAACTATTGAAGTATCTCCTTCGATAAATATGTGCTAGCATGCTGGACACATCCATGAGAATTATCCAAGCAACCTTTGCTAGGAGAGCTTGATTAAAACATTCGAATTCTCAGAACCCAAGCCCACCCTACTGCTTAGGCGTACATAAACTCCTCCAAGACCTCCAATGAATCCTCCTTTGACCCTAAGAAGCACCCCACCAAAACCTTGCAATGTATGCATTAAGACGGTCAACCAAATCCTTCGGTAAACAGAAGCAAGACAATACATAAACAGGGAGTGTTGCGGCCAACGAATTTAACAAAACTTCCTTAGCAGCAGTAGAAAGAGCCCTTTGCTTCCAACCCTGTAAAACGTAAATCAACTTCACTTTGAAAAACCTAAAAGTTTCAATCTTAGATTGCCCAAACAAAGAAGGCGGACCCAAATAATGATCTTGAAGACCAATAGCCTCAACATTTAGAAAAGCCCCAAGAGCTTCCTGATCCGATTGAATCATGTTAGGGCTAATGTACATTGCGGATTTCTTCAAATTGACCCTTAGCCCACTAAAACTCTCGTAATCTCGCAAGAGATCCATCAACTTCCGCCCATCCCTTATTGAAGCACGGAGAAAAAGAAAAGAATCATCTACAAAAAGGAGATAAGAAACCATCGGACAACGGACATTCATTCGAATTCCATGAAGATCATGATCACAGATTGCCTTTTTAATCAAGGCAGTGAACCCTTCAGTACGGAGTGCAAAAAAAGAGGAGTTAGAGGATCTTCCTGACGTAAGCCTTGAGAGGAAGCAAAGTAACCTGAAGGAGAGCCGTTGGCCTCAACCGAAAAGGTAGCGGTAGTAATACATTCTCGAACCCACTGAATCCATAAGGGATCAAATCCCAATTTATGTAACAAAGAAAACAAGAAAGGTCATTTAATCATGTTGTACGCTTTCTCCGTATCAAGTTTAATATTCTCCTTGCCATGACGCTTATTCTTAATGAAATGCATCACTTCATGCACCACAAGAACATTGTCCACAATTTGACGTTCTTGAACAAAGCCATTCTTCTCAGGAGAAATAAGGGACGAAAAAACAGGGCTTAGCCTTGTTGCCATAATCTTGGTAATGACCTTGTAAAGAAACTGGCAGAGGCTAAGTGGTTGAAGTTGAGTCACTCGTTCGACATTCTCTACCTTTGGAATCAAAGTTAACCCACTATGATTCATGTTACAAAGGAGGCGACCGGTCTGAAAGAAAGAAGAAATAGCTTTCACAACACTTGGACCAACAATATGCCAAAATGATTTAAAGAAACGGCTAATATATTTGTATGGCCTGAACTTTGACCATAATACATATTCTGACCAATCCTTTCAATCTATAACATCATGGCCCAAACTATACATCAAAATAAAAAAATTGACAAAACCCCATGTTTGACCGTTAACTTGGACGGTCAAATGCGTTGACTAACGGTCAACTGGCCTCGTCAATGCCAAGTCAGCAACTTTCAATGAAAATTTTTTATAATTTTCACCCATTATCATTTTCCTTTTTTTATTTTGAACAAAAAAATGCATTTTACTTGATTTTGTACTCTAGTCCGAATTATAAAAAAAGGAAAATTATAATAGGTGGAAATTACAAAAAAAAAAATTAATAGAAATTTGTTGACTTGGCAGTGACGTGGCTTGTTGACCGTTAGTCAACGCGTTTTAGACATTTGTATCGCCCAATTCATGGTTTGATCGTGATTGATGTTTTTGGATGAAAACTTTAACAGAAGGGCATGTTTGATCATTTTTCAAAAATACAGGGGCATGTTTGATATAAAAAATAGTAGAGATGCATGTTTGATAAAACGGCATAGTAGAGGGGCATATTATACCTATAACCCTAATTATTACTAGATATGTAGGGCTAATTTATTCATTTAGGTTTGGTCAATCCATAAGTTGACCATAGTTAACGAAATTTGGATGGAAAAATTAACAGAATGGTATGTTTGAGAATTTTTTATAGTACAAGGACATATTTGACGTGAAATATAACAGAAGAGCATGTTTGAGAAAAATGAATAGTAGCCAAAATATGCTACTTACCCCAATTTTTTCAGCTGCCAAAAATGCTACTTACCCCAATTTTTTCAGCTGCCAAAAATGCTATATTTGATACCATATACATCGGCATTACTATTTATTATTTTATCATTAGTCATGCATTGTTATTAAACCAAATTTTATGTTGGCCTTGTTGTAGTTTTTACGAAAGCAATTTATGATTGTATATTTAAGAAAAGTACTTAATAAACAATTGAGTATTTGACTGATAAACTATTAGTAATTTTTAATATCAGAAGTTATGTAAAATAACTAAAAAATTTTCTAACAAAAAATATTAATCAAAATAATAAAATTAGTAAAAATGGTTATACTCTATTTTCTTCTGTATTAAATAATATTATTTTGTAAATGATAATAAATAAAAATAAAATATGTTAGGTTAATCTTGTATTTTCAAAACATTTTTTTTTTTGCAAAAACTCTAAATAAAAAAATTTGCTTTTATGTTAAAAAAGATATTTTCCATTTTTTAAAAAATATGTGCTTGCGAAAACAAAGCCACTTCTAAACGTTTAAGCTAATTTGTGACAACTTTGCACAAATTTGAACTTATTTTAAGAAAGAAACACGAGTGGTTGTTAGGTTGATTTCTTGCATGTTGTCGCTTATTATATCTTTAATTAATTAATGAATGGGCAGACACGAATGTTTAGCTTCGAAAAGTGAAGGTAAACTAAAAGCAGGGAAACATGTAGCAGGAATTGAAAAGTAAAGGTGTCAAAGGAAAAGGCAACAAAAAAAAGTTGCAAGAAAGAAGGGAAAAGGAATAAGGAGAAAGTGAAAGCCGAGGAATAGGATGGCAGAGAAGAAGACACAGCAGCCGGAGAGAGAGAGAGAGAGATTGGTAGCAGAAGAAGAGAGTGAAAGCAAAACATGAGAGGATTGTGCAGTAGTGAGCCAGTGACCATTGTTTGTCCCCCTAATAATATTCCAATGAGGTCCCCCTATCATCACATCACCACCCAATGGCAAAATAAATGAATGTGTAAATTCTAAATTCGGACGAAAGAAAATTACAATCGATTAATCGAACCAAGTTAAATTGAACGCAAGCTGGTATCATATTTTGAGACAGTCGAGACGTTCGGAGAAAGAAGTTACGAGTTAATGGGAGAACTATAATTACAATCAAAAGGCGGAAGAGTTGTAGTGAGACATTTCTTGTCCTTTTTGCTCCTTAGTAATTTGACTTACAAGTTACAACCCTTTTAACTAAGATCAAAATGGGGGGAAATAACAAAAGAAAGGGACCAAATTAGAGAACAGAAGATTTTGGTTAGGGAGAAGGCCCATTTGAACTTGCTTGCTGCTGTGCTGCTTCCTTTTGCTGCATCCTACTTTTTTACTTCACAAAAACCTACCAAACTTGTAAATAAATCCTATGGACGAGATTACCCCCCACAAAATCCTACTAGCTAGGGGCTTGTTTGGTTGAACAGCATTCAAGATTCAACCTCCCTCTGTAAGCTTGTTGCTTAGTTAAGCTTTTTCAGTAATCTTTCCCCTTGTTTCCCTTTCTCTTTCCCATATCTGCCATCCTCTTTCTCATAGCCCCAGCAAGATGTAGTAGACAAGGGTGAAGGGTAGGGCAATGAGCATCCCAAATATGACCCTGAAAAGGGAAAGAACACACAGGGAAGAATATTTCCTTAGCAAAAAGAAGGAAAAGCAAAGTACAGAGCTGAGGTAGCGCTGCTAGGGAAGAGGAATCCAAAAATAAACACTCACCCAGTACTTAGAATATCAGGATGCACATTATATTCCTTAGCAAAGACAAAGGGAACAATCCCCTGTGGTAGAGCTGCCTGTTTTGTTTTTTTTGGGTTCAAGGGCAAAAACAGCACTTGCTGTTAGTAAATGTACACAAACAAAGTGACTCGAAACTAGGATAGTAATCCAAACAATACAAGGAAAGAATTGAATTCAAGAAAGCAAGAAGCTTATCCTGATAGCAGTTACTAAAGATCTTTCATAATTGAAAGAGATGGGGGATTTATAGTTTTTTGGTAGTGTCAGAAGGAGGCAAAACACACAAAGGGTACCCTACAAAAGCTTGGGGTCCCAAAAGAAAAGGGCAGCGAAGAAACAAACAGACCTGAACAATGGCGATGTGAAGGAGAGTGCCCCTGAGGCCAACCACAATGGAAGCAGCTGCCATGACAGCTGGTCCAACAAAGAATCTCACGCCCATTGCAAAAGCTGCTGTTGATTTCCCACATGCTATGATCCTTGGCTGCAATGCCATGAACAACCCTACACACACACAAAAAAAAAAAAGAAAAAAAAAAAAGATAACTTGTCAGACAATATGTATAGAGTCTAGAGTAGACAAAGCGAAAAGGAAGGACCCCAGAAAGCCAAAGAGAGAGAAGGATTGCAAGCTTTGCACTTTGCTGGCGCTGCAGCTGTGCAAAGCAAGCTAGCTAGCAGGCAAAGCATGCCCATTACTCCCTTTACCCACCATTATGGCCATGATTGCTGCTTGCTTCGCTTGCTTGCTATTGCCTATTGCTATCTCTCACATTCTCACTCACAGTTCAGGCCAGGCCAGGCCGCTTCCTGTTCACTTCACTCGATCCTTGTCAGACCCCAAAGATTTTTCTTCTTTCCCTCATTCACTCGTCTCCCTTTTCAAAGAAACAACACTTTTCCTCCCCGGCCCTTTCACCAAGGAATCATCGTCATCATCACTCCCACCACTAACCATATGCAAAAAGGAAAAGAAAAACCAGCCAATGCCCATCATCATCTCCACCTTAAATCTTAATATGCTTTACCGATGTTTGTTCATTGATAAGTCTCCTTTTCTCAATACCCACCAAATAAAAAAGACTAATAAAGACTCTCCCCTTTATAGCTTTTGATCCAACTGAGGCACAAAAGGACACCTATTAATTACTGCACTGCACCACCACCGCCGCTTCTACTGGTTACTGGTTCTACTGTCTACTTTTTACTAAAACCAACATCCCCAATGCGCAAATCCAGAAACCAACAAACTTTAAAGAAGAACACGAATTTGTATAACATTAACATCTGCGTAATGGACTTGGCTATTTTGAAATTATACTGACCAAGACTGAACATAGCCATGCCGAGCCCTGCATCTGATAGAATCGAAATGGACTTGGCTATTATAGCAGGCATTGCTACATGCCACCTGCAATCCCAAAACCAAAACCCCACCACCATTAATAACCCAATCAATCCATCATCGATCACACCATTATCATCATCTACAGCAAACCCAGAGAAACAATTTGAAGGAAATGATAATGAACCAAGGCAAAGATAGTAATAGAGTCCGGAAGGAACCTGAAGGAGACGAGAGACCAGATGAGACCAATCAAGCTGGAGTAAGTGTTGGGATTCCTGATCAGCTTCCTCCACACCATTATCAGAATAAGCCTCGTCATCACGCTCGTTGGGGGCATAGCTTTGGCCCTCCCATCACCAGCAACGGCCGCCGCGGACTTCTCGCCTTCGTTGCCATTGCTCATCATCTCCCCTCCTCTGTTCCCGAAGCTGAACTCGTCTCTCTCCACCAAGTAGTCTTCGCCATGATTCTCCCTCGCATGCTGCTCCACTGCTCACCCACCACAACGAAACAAAACCAATTCAGAAATGGCAGGCAAAGAAAAAACGGGCAACAAAACAAAAACTCTGAATGGTACCTTTCCCAGGGCCAGGAGGAGAAACAGCGAGTCTAACGTCCTTATGGTCATTATGATGATGGTTGTGACCACCGTACTCATGGCTACCAAACACATCTGAAACTGGCGACGCGCTCGAGCTCCACACGAACATATGAATATCCTTTCCACCTTCATCGCCTTTCTGCTGGCCGTTAGCATTCCCTTTCTTACCCCCAGTAACAGCAACCGGAGGGGGAGGAGCTGCGCCGGCACCCTTATTAGCTGCAGTAGTCGGCGAAAACATCCCCGGGTTGGGCGCAGGGTAATGGGCCGGAGGCGGCGGCCCGCCACCACCACCCGACCCATGCCCGTAGCCGTGAAACCTCCCTTTACTGTCCTCGTCGTAGTTAGAGGGCCTGGGAGTCGGTCCGCGGGACGCCGACATACCATAGACATCATTAGCCCCGAAATTGGAGTTCCGACCCGCCGCCATCATCGAGTAGAAATCCGTATGGTTAAAGCTCGAGCCGCGAGGGGTGGGGTTCCTGGAGGACTGCAGAGAATAAATCTCGGCATTGGTCAAATTGGAGGGACGCGGGGTGTTTGACGAAAGTCCCTGGGACCTGCGAGAGAAGATATCGGATCTGGAGGCGTTGGACTTCCTGACGGTGATGTGCAGCTTGCCGTCGTCCTTAATCTCGGCCTCCGTCTGGAGCGGCTGGCGGCCGTCGAGCGACATGATGTCGGAATCGACGTGAATGGAGACAATCGAACCGGCGGTATCAGGGAACTGGTCGGAAATGAGGAGCTTGGCGCCGCGGTACTCGAACATGAAGAGCATGAGGGTGTACCAGATGATGCACTGGAGGACGACGATCTGGACCATGAGAGTCCCGGAGGCGTCGCCGTACATGCCCTTGAGCAAGGGGATGCCCATGACGAGGGTGTTGGGCAGGGTGGAGAGGGAGAAGAGGGTTATGGTCCACTCCAGGGAGCCGCGGCGGGTGAGGTTGGACCACAAGGCGAGGGCGACCAGGATGATCATCTTCTGGAGGCTGTCGGCGGCGATGAAGTGGAAGTTCATGGCGTAGGGGTCGTTGGAGGAGATGAAGTGGAAGGAGAGGAGCGGGACGGCGAACAGGGCCACGAATCGGTTGATTCCGGAGCACTGCTCCGGGCTGAAGATCTTCCACCACTTCACGGAGCAGTACGCGAGGAACATTGCCACGTAGAGCGGCACCATCGCCGTCATCACGTGGTAGAAATCTGCTCCGCTGATCATCTTCTTCTGGGTTTTCAACTTCTTAGTTTCTTGGGTGCGTTACCGTTTTGAGAGGCGCAAGGGAGAGAGGAGGAAGGAGAGTGGGGAAATGGGAAGTAGAAGGGAGCAGGTGGGTTTTGGCCTTTTGGGGTTTATGGGGGTTTGAAGAAGAAGAAGAAGAAGAAGATGGTGGGAGGGAAGCGGTAGAGTGGGAAACTTTTATGAGTGAGTGAGGAGAGAGAGTGACTCACTCAGCTCAGCTCAGCTGGCTGACTCGGGTGGTGTACTGTATTTTAGTTTTCCAGAGGGGAAATTAATTATTTAATATAATAAGAAAGAGGAAACAACGGAAGGGAAGAAAATAAGAAATTGTTTGTATGGTTTGCTTTTTGAGGGCGAGGGGAAGGGGGGCAGCTTTTGTATTCAGAAAACCGAGCAAAGGGTTGCACTTTGCAGTCCCCTATGCATAGGCGTTTGTCCCCTCATTTATCTTCCCCTAGGAGACCCAATAGGTCCCCTATCAATTCTTTTGGTTACCATGTTTTATCCTCGCTCATAAGAAGTAGGGTGTGTTTATGGTGACATGCATGTAGGGCTGTTAATCGGTCTCCGGTTTTTTGGTTACCACCAAAATCGAACCGAAATCGTCGGTTTACTGACCAACCGAAAACCGTCGGTTGAGTGCGGTTTGCGGTTGCGGTTGGATGTCACCGGCCAGTGGGCAATTGTAGCGGTTAGCGGTTAAAAACCGCAATCGTACAAATTAACCGCACAAAACGACGACCCAGACACATCGGATTCTCCTTCCCTGATCCCCTGACCTAAATGAACCATAAAATCCTAAATCCCAAAATCGTGAGAGTCTCACCCGCCGCTCCTCCCATTTCTGAACCCTAGCCAGTAGCCCCAACCCTCACCGGCCGCCTCCAGTCACCTCGTCCACGTCGAGCTCGTCGGCCGTCGCAGCGCCGTGCCGCCGTCCTCACTCCTCTCGCAGTCGAGCTCGTCCCCTCCCGTAGCGTCGCATCGTCCCCGTCGAGCTCGTCCCCGCCGCTCCCATCGTCGCGTCGCACCGCCGCCCTCCCGCCTCTCCCAGTCGAGCTCGTCCCCTCCCGTCGCGTCGCATCGTCCCCGTCGAGCTCGTCCCCGCCGCTCCCAGCCTTCGTCGCATCGCCGCCCTCGCGTCGCCGCTGTCCTCCAACAGAAGTCGTCGTCGCCGAACTCCCGCCCAGAACTCCCTCCCAGAACTCGACTCCTGCCGTCTTCTGCCCCGGAATCCCGTCGTCTTCTGCCCTGTTCTCCCGCCGTCTTCTGCCCTGTTCTATCACCGATTCACCATCACCAATGTAAGTTCCAACAGAACAAAAACATTAGTAGGGATTTGTGGATTATAGACCGGCAAAAGAGCTAGGAAAAGAGAGATCGAGAACAATAGTAGTTAGTACTCTATGCCTGTAGTTAATTATTCTTTGTATTAATTAATTAGTAGCTGATGATGCGAAGAATGGAAAGCCTTCATTTTCACTCGAGCTTTGAATGTCTGGTTATCTGGTCTTCAACTGGTTTGTGCTTCTCCTTTCATGTTCGTTGCCTGGGACGGAATGTATGGCACACAAAAAAATTATTTGTAATATGAATGTACCTTTCCACAGCCCACAGGGGTGTAAGCTTGGCTTTAGAGATTTCCCGATCTGCTTGATCCTCAGGGTCGGTTTGGCTATAAAAGGGTCGGTTTTTGGTCATGTGATGCGTAGTAACAAACAAGCCAACAACTAGTGATAACTTAGTAGATTCATGGTTTGGTGATTGGTAGTTAGTAAAGATTTGGTTTGCTAATTGTTGATGTTACATCTATTTACATGTTTTTATTGATTAAAACAGGGATAGAGGTGGACGTGGTAAGAAACCACGTGGTCGTGGTCGTGGAAGAGGAGAACAAGGAGCAAGAGGTGCTCCTCCTCCGGCTTCTCAGCCGCGGGTTCCTTCGCAACCTGCTACTCCTTCTACCGGAGCTACTACAGCCGGAGGAGTTACTCCAAATGTGGCGGCTGCAGTTGAGAATGTAGAAGGTATTGCAGCAGATAATGTAGCAACGCCGGCTGGAGTCGAGAATGCAAATGTGGAAGCTGGGGGAGATGCAACGGGAAGTGGAAATGATGCAGCATCAAAGAAGAGGAAAGCTGAATGTTGGAATGTCTTCAGAGCGATACTGGTTGATGGCTACCCATTTGGAGAATGTATATTCTGCAAGACGAAGATTGCAGCACATCCGAAGTTTAATGGGACAAGTGCAATGAATACACATAGGAGGGCATGTGCGAGGAAAAGGCTGAAGGAGAGTGGTAGCTCTCAAACTTTGTTGAATCTGCAGTCAACATCTACAGCTACTGGTGGTCAGGTAGGATCTCTTTCGACATGGAAGTTTGATCAGACTAAAACTAGGATTGGTCTAGCTGAGATGATTATATTGGATGAGCTTCCCTTTAGATATGTCGAGCATGAAGGCTTTAGACGATTTATGGCATTGGCGCAGCCCTTGTTTGTGATACCTGGTAGGCTTACTATTAGAGAAGACTGTTATCGTATCTTCCTTGAAAGAAAAGATATCCTGAGAGATTTCTTTGTCACAAAATGCAAAGGAAGAATTTCGATAACGACAGATACATGGACTTCTGTTCAGAATGCAAACTATATGTGTGTGACTGCTCATTATGTTGGTAAAGACTCGAAGTTGGTGAAGAAGGTGATTTGCTTTGTTGAGGGGACTAGTCATACTGGAGTTGATATAGCTGAGACATTGTGTACTTGTCTAGATGAGTGGAAGATCAAGAGTTTGTGTTGCATCACAATGGACAACGCTAGTACGAATGATGTTGTGGCTAGTTACATGATAGAGAAGATGCATGAGTGGGGGACAAATATGTTGGATGGGAGGTACTTGCATTTTCGTTGTGTTGCTCACATCATCAACTTAGTTGTCACTGATGGCTTGAAAGAAGTGGGGATTTCGGTTGAAAGGGTTCGAGATGTTGTGAAGTGGGTCAAGTCATCTCCATCAAGACTTACCAGATTCAAGGCGGCTGCTGATTTTCTTAAGATTGAGACCAAGAAACTTGTGTGTTTGGATGTTCCCACAAGGTGGAACTCCACCTACCTCATGCTAGAGTCTGCAGAAAGATTTGAGAAAGTATTTACTTTCTTATATGGACAAGATGAGAGTTTTAAGAAGTATGTGGACACAAAGAGAGCTGTGCCAACACAAGAAGATTGGAGCAGTGTGAGAAGGCTGATGAAGTATTTGAAGTTTTTCTGTGATTTGACTACGCGTGTATCTGGTATGACATATTTCTAAATCTTTAAAGGCGAACTATATGTTCTTTTTCTTATTACTTCGATTTATGTTATACTAATATCTATTCTCTTGAACTTTTCTGTGTTTACAGGAACTTCATATGTGACTGTGCATCTATTCTTCAAGTATCTTGCAGATATTTATGAGGTCATATGCACATTGGAGCAAGATGAAGATGCCGAGATACAACGAATGGCAGTGAGAATTAAGGCGAAGGTTGCAAAGTATTGGTATGAGGCAGATAATGAGGAGAATATTAGGATGAACCGTGTGATCTACATTGCATGTGTGTTAGATCCGAGGCGCAAGTTGGCCTATGTTGAATTTGTCTTGAAGCAGATGTATGGCCAAGAAAATGGGAAGCAAATGGCTAAGGATATCAAACAAGAGATGAGTGACTTGTTTGAAGATTACAAGAAGAAGCTCCAGTCTCCACCCTCAAGTGCGCCGGATGCTGTTGCCACCTCCACAACCACTCTTAGTGGGAGTTCGAGTAGTGGTGTTGTGATGGGAGGGAAGATGACTTTTGAGTTCAAGAAGTTGAGGAAAGAAGAGCTTGATGCGGGTATTCGAAGTTCTTCAGAGCTGGACATCTATCTGAATGATGTCAATGATGCTGTTCTTTTCGATGACGAGGATGATAGCTTTGACATTCTTAAATGGTGGTCCGTCAGCAGCATTAGATATCCCGTGCTTTCTAAAATGGTGCGGGATATTTTGGCCATTCCGATTTCTTATGTTGCCTCCGAGTATGCTTTTAGCACAGGAGGTCGGGTGCTATCCTCATTTAGGTCCTCCTTGACCCCGAAGATGGTGGAGGCATTAATCTGTGCCGAAGATTGGATACGATTCCCTGATTCCCAATTGGTTCATGATGAAGAGGATCTCGAAGAGCTAACTGAGTTTGAAAGTGGTAATATAACATTTCTTCCTTCTAATTATGCTTTAGTTTTCATATTTGACAATTTGCCTATCTTAGTTTTCTCATTATAATCTACTTTTCATGTAGTTTATGAGGTTTTACAAGCTCGAATGGCTAATCAAAGTGGGAGTGAGTTTGATGGAACCCAAAGTTTTTCAGTTGATCCTACTTCTACTCCTACCCCCATAGTTGATGGACTTGATGATGTTGCTGAATATGATTCTGATGTCAATCCTGATGATGAGAATGAAGATCTTGGAGTAAATGATGACATCGGGCTAGACGATTTGGAGCGAGATCCCCGAATTTAGGTTGATGATTTGGAGAATGAACTTGTTATTTGTGGCTTGTTGTGATTTGTGAACTTGTGACTGTTGAATTGTTGGCATGTAAAAGATTTATGGTGTGTGATGAATGATGACTTGACTTGTGATTTAATTGTGGTTGGGTTAGACTTTATGTTCTGATTTGATAATAGAGCAGTAGGTTTTTAGAAAAGGGCAGCAACAGGTTTTTAGAAAAAAGGCAGCAGGTGTGTGTGCTGTGTGCAGGGTTCTGGATCTCGGTTTTATTGGTCGGTTTCTGACCGAAACCGAAAACCGGATGACTGGCGGTTTCGGCTAACCGCCCGCTCAAACCGAGACCGACGGTTTCGGTTGCCGCTTAACCGAGGATGGCGTCGGTGTCGGCTTCGGTTGAGGGAAACGGGTTGGTTTCGGTCTCGGCTAACCGACGGTGCGGTTCGGTTAAACCAAAACCGCACCGACTAACAGCCCTACATGCATGTTATCGTAATATAGATTTTTCGGTCGAGTTAATATTAACAGAGGTCGACCGAATTCATTAATGTGGGCACCATAAGGACTCATCGCAATCGACCTCAAAAATCATATGGTCGACCGTTTGTAGTTTAAGTTGTT